CGAATTGTTATTGTAATTTCGTGCAATGTAGCAGTACTGTTCGCTGTATTTTTTTTACAGTATGTTTTATGATGTGGTGATAACTACGTGACTATCATGAAATGCATATAATACATGCATATAATCAGATGTTTATATGAATATAATGATGTGAGTTATAAAAATGCATTATGCATAGATGATAATGCTTCAATATGCATAATGTTTGATGTGCTCTGAACTTAAATGCGCACATACCAGTATATGATGTAAATGCGTGACAGTTAACGACCCAAAAACTAAGCTACCGCCATCCCCTGCCTAGCATGGGGGGGAGGTCAATAGTTTAGCTTTTGAATAATCAACTGTCACATGAAACAACACAATCTGTAAAATCTAAAAAGAAAGTCAACTCTATCAAATCCAGTTCGAAGTGGTCGCACACGAGTCACTGAGTGCGCCAATGAACCTTTTGTGAAATGATAGACTTGAGCATTCTTTTTAAAAATCACAGACATGCATTGTTATTGCAATGAATATGGATCAATGCACACAACCACGGCACACACGCACGACGGCACACACAAAGATACAAACACTTGTCCAAGATCACACACATTCACACAAACACAAAAACCCTCCATCAAAACAATAACATACAATCATTAAAATGCAATCATACATGTCACCACTGCTACCCACTTCACAAGTAATCTTGGCAGATATACACATCTAGAACAAAAGTCAGTAGGGAAATCCGGAAAACCAGGTAGGCAACGAATGACGGAGAGGGAAAGAAGGAAGAAGGGAGAGGAAAATGTATTATCAAAGTGCAGTGAAAATGGAAAGGAAAGAAAGGCAGGGGAGGAAAAAATCATAATAACCAAACAGAATACAACCTAATGGTGCTAAGGTAAAAAAATAATGAATAGCGACATACATAGAAAACAGAACCCAAAAAGCAAAGCAAGTAACAAAACAACAAACAACAATATATCTTAGCAGTGAATTTCACAGATAAACGAGCTCACCTAACGAGGGAGAGAGAACGAGAGAGAGCATGAGAAAGCAGGAGGGAGAGAGAGAACGAGAGAGAGAGAACGATCAAGAATATGCTCCTACCTAGTGAATCAACTCTCTGAGAAGAATTCTTAATATCATTTCAAAACTCAATTAAGGTAGGGGGAAGAAATCATGGCGTACGGAAGAAAACAAAAGTAAGAGCAAGAGCTGAAAGGAGCAAGCAAGTAGAGTGTGAATCGAAATAAAGGAGAGCAGAAGATCGGAAGAAGTGGAGAGAAGCAGAGGGAAGGAGAGAACAAAAGTACGATGCATAACCTAGGAAGAAAGAAAGGTTAAGAAGCAAAAACGAATGGAAGAAGTGTTAGAATCTTACGGGAAAAGTGAGTGTCGACTATCGAGGGGAAAGGTACAAAGGAGAAACCTAAGGGGTTGTACCCCACAGTGAGTACCCCACTAAGCCTAACCAAACTAGAACATATATACACATATGTTTGACACACCCCCATAGGCAAAGTGGGGGAGAACAGAGGGTCACAAGACCAGTCAGGAAGTACAAAGCAAGCTCAGGGTGGATCACAACGTCACCACGCAGTCTGAGCACAAGCAAGAAGGCCACAAGGCCAGTTCACATGCAGAAATATATATGTAACAACAACAGTACAGTGATATCTACCTACAAGAACAAGCATGCAGGAATACATATAAATCATGGTACAAACAAAGCCTACAGCAAGTGAGGAAGAGTGGGCACAAGGCCTAACAAAGTGCAGAAACGCTGATGATCACCAGGCGGAAGCGCCTTGGTGAATATATCAGCAGTGTTGGCCCGAGTGGCCACGTAGGTAAGACGAAGCTGGCCACACTGCTGCAGCTCTCGAGCAAGAAAGTAACGGAGAGCGATGTGCTTTGTTCTGTGCTCCAGTCTAGGCTCCTGACACAAGGCAATGGCGGCCTTGTTGTCGACGTACAGAACTGGAGGAGAACGAGGCCGCTCTCCCAAGTCGGTCAGCAGGTAGGTGAGCCAGCGCAGCTCCTGTGCAGCCATGGCTGTGGCGTAGATCTCTGCCTCACAACTGGAGCCGAGAACTGAAGACGAACGTGTAGAACGCCAGGAAACTGAACCAGAACCAAGGCTGAAGGTGTAACCCTGTGACGACTGCTGTGTAGCCTGGTCATCAACCCAAGAGGCGTCCGAGTGACCTGTGAGGACAACGTCACCCCGTCCTCCAAGCATGAGCCCCATGCCCGATGTACTGCACAAGTAGCGTAGTACACTCTTGGCAGCATCCATGTGCACCTTTCGGTGCCGACCAGGAGCCACATAGCGAGCCAGAAGGCCAAGAGGGTATGCAAGGTCAGGACGAGTGCAAGTCATCAGGTACATGAGGCAGCCCACTAACTCTGGGTAAGGACCACTCGGCTCTACGGACTCGTCCGAAGGTGGAGCTGAGAGCGAGTGACTTGTAGCCAGAGGAGTGGCCTGTGCTGAGGACCAGGTGAAACCGAAGCGCTGAAGGACCTGCTGCACCATGTGTGACTGAGTCAGTGTGATGGTGCGCCGTGCTCTGTCCCGGGTGATCTGCAAGCCAAGGTAGCTGCGCAGTTCACCCAGGTCTGTGCACGTGTGTCTCTTCTGCAGCTCCGACTTCACCAGGGTGAGAGCCTCAGTGTCAGCAGTGGCAAAGACCAAGTCGTCGACGTACACGAGAACGTAGAACGGCGGCAGCGAAGTGTCGGTGCGCAAAAACAGCGACGGGTCTGTCAAACATATATGCCTAGTTATATCTAGGCTTACTTTATGTGTTTATAGTTGTCTAGGCTATAGTGGGTTTAGCCTTAGGGGGTACAAAGTTTCTCTCGACATTCTACTTATACCCCTTCCCTTTTCTTAGTCAATTATTCTCGCCTAAGATTCTAACATGGAATCAGAGCAGGTCGACCCTCGTGGGTCGATCCTGTGCATGTGCCCACCATTGTCTTCCGCTGCTACACTGCCTATCGCGCGCCTCGGGCGCGCACTGTCTTCCTGTCTGCCGCGTGCCCATGGCGCGCGGCCCTTTTTCTTCCCGCCGCGCGCTCAAGTCGCGCGGCGGTTTTCTGCTCGTCGCGCCGCCCTGGGGGCAGCGCGACGCCCTGATTTGCCCGTCGTGTGCCCAGTGGCGCGCGACGGTGCCCTGCCCGTCGCGCGCCTTGGGGCGCACGGCGGTTTCGTCGCCCGGGGGGGCTCGTGCGCGCCCCCCCCCCCCCCTTCGTCGCCCGTCGCGGCGCCAACAAGGGCCCGCGCGGCCCCCCCCTTCGTCGCCCGTCACGGCGCCAACGGGGGCCCGCGTGGCCCCCCCCTTCGTCGCCCGTCGCGGAGCCAACGGGGGCCCGCGGGGCCCCAATTCCCGTCGCCTGTCGAGGCGACCCCGGGGGGGGGCCGACTGAAGGGGGCCACGCGTCCGCCCCTCCTGTTTTCGTCCCCCCCCCCCCCCATCTCCGGCCCTGCCCTGTGTTAGGGTTTGGGGGTGGCGAGTGGGGGGTGGCGGGTGTGTGGCATCACCTGCTCCTCCTCCTCCTTCGTCTCCCACTGCTGCACCTGCCGCTGAGGGGGGTGGGTGTGTGGGAGCCAAAGGAGTGGTGCTAGAGGGTGGAGTGTGAGTGAACCTAGGGGTGCAGCAAGGGGTGTGTGAAAGGGGGGTGCGACAGTGGGGGAGGTTGAAGGGAAGTAGCCGTCGTGTTGCCAGCAGTGCCAGTAGTCCGGAGGTGCGCTTCCGGTAGCCCAGTGATGCCGCTCCGCCAGTCGCCCGTGGGTCCGTTGCTCCTGCCGCTCGTCTTAGCCGCGGAGCCAGTTACTCCTGTAGTCCGGAGGTGCGCCTCCGGTAGCCACAGTGCGCGCCGCTCCTGTGGCCCGTGTGTCTGCAACTTCCGCCGTTGCCTCCTCTCTCCTTTCCTATTAGTCCAGCCTTCTGCTCCTCACTTGCCCTCTGTGATAGCCTCTAGTTTTGCTTGTATTTGTGATCTATAACCTGCTACCTCCTGTACTTGTGCTCAGAATGTGTGGTGACTTTGTGATCCACCCTGAGCTTGTTTTTGCTTTGCTTGTTGTGCTGATTACACCCCACTTTGGCTATGGGGGTGTGTCAGAATGTTATGTTTGTCTAGCCTGCAGTGGGGTACTCAATAGTGAGTACAGCCCAATTTAGGGTTTTGCTATATGTACTCAACTGTTTGCTAGTGCAACTCCTCTTTCTCATTTCTAAACTTCCTTTGGTTTCTAACATGGTATTAAGAGCAATTAGTCCTAGGACCTAATGCTAATGGGCCCACCACCTACTGCCCTGCTAGCCTAGGCCCCGGCCCGTCGCCCCTTGGCGTCGCCCCTAGCCCCTAGGCTCGGCCCCTTGGCCCCGTTGCCTCGGCCCCGCTGGCCCCGTCGACTTCGTCGCCCGCGCCCGGCCCGTACCTAGCCCGTCGCCCGGCCCGTACCTAGCCCGTCGCACGGCCCGTACCTAGCCCGACGCCCGGCCCGTACCTAGCCCGTCGCCCGGCCCGTACCTAGCCCGCGCCCGGCCCCGTCTCCTGCCCGCGCCCGGCCCGTACCTAGCCCGTCGCCCGGCCCGTACCTAGCCCGTCACCCGGCCCGTACCTAGCCCGTCGCCCGGCCCGTACCTAGCCCGTCGCCCGGCCCCGTCTCCTGCCCGCGCCCGGCCCGTACCTAGCCCGACGCCCGGCCCGTACCTAGCCCGTCGCCCGGCCCGTTCCTAGCCCCGCGCCCGGCCCGTACCTCGCCCGCGCCTGGCCCCGTACCTAGCCCGCGCCCGGCCCGTACCAAGCCCGCGCCTGGCCCCGTCCTGCGCCCAGCGCCCGGCCCCGTCTCTTGCCCGCGCCCGGCCCCGTACCTAGCCCCGCGCCCGGCCCCATTCCGCGCCCAGCGCCCGGCCCCGTACCTGCCCAGCGCCCGGCCCCGTACCTGCCCAGCGCCCGGCCCCGTACCTGCCCAGCGCCAGGCCCCGTACATGCCCAGCGCCCGGCCCCATACCTGCCCAGCGACCGGCCCAGTACCTTCCCAGCGCCTGGCCCCGTACCTGCCCAGCGCCCGGCCCAGTCCCTGCCCAGCGCCTGGCCCCATTCCTGCCCAGCGCCCGGCCACGTACCTGCCCAGCGCCCGGCCCAGCCCCTGCTCAGCGCCTGGCCCCGTACCTGCCAGCGGCCGGCCCCATACCTGCCCAGCGCCCGGCCCCGTTCCTGCCCAGCGCCCGGCCCCGTACCTGCCCAGCGCCCGGCCCCGTCGCCCCTAGCCATGGCTCCGTCGCCCCTAGCCATGGCCCCTCGCGACCTGCCGCCCCTAACCGCGGCCCCGGTGCCCTGTTGCGCCATGGTGGGTGAGGGGGTGGCAAGAGGGGGTTCCTCCTGCCCGCGTGCCCTTCAGTCGCACGCGCAGCTCCGCCCCCGACCCCTCCCCCCCCTCCATGGGGATGGCGGGGAGAGGGGGAGGAAACTTGGAGGTTCAGGAGGAGGCAGGAGGGGATCTGCAGCACCAGGTCCCCCACCTTTCTCCTACCTCCCCCTGCTGCGGGAGCAGCAGAAGGGGGGAGGGGACCTGCAGCACCTGCCCCCCCCCCCCCCCCCCCCCCCCCCCCCCGCCCCCCCCCTTCTCCTCCATCTCTCTGCTGCGGGTGCAGCAGTGGGGGAAAGGGTATGGGGGTGGCGGGTGTGGCCAACCTGCTGTCGCCCGAGCGGCTCCTGCACCGCCCCTTCTCCTACCTCCCCCCTGCTGCGGGTGCAGCAGTGGGGGGGGAGGGGATCTGCGGCACCAGCCCCCCCCCCCCCCCCCCCCCTCCATGGGGATGGCGGGGAGAGGGGGGGGAAGCTTGGAGGTTCAGGGGGAGGCAGGAGGGGATCTGCAGCACCAGGTCCCCCACCCTTCTCCTACCTCCCCCTGCTGCGGGTACAGCAGTGGGGGGGAGGGGATTTGCCATCCCCCTGCTGCGGATGCGGCAGTGGGGGGAGGGGACCTGCAGCACCAGCCCCCCCCCCCCCCCCCCTCCTCTCCGCCCTTTTCTCCTCTCCCTCCCCCTGCTGCGGGTGCCGCAGTGGGGGGGAAGGGATCTGCCATCCCCCTGCTGCGGATGCAGCAGTGGGGGGAGGGGACCTGCAGCACCAGCCCCCCCCCCCCGCCCCCCCCCCCCCCCCCCCCCTCCCCTTCTCCTCCACCCTTGCTGCGGGTGCAGCAGTGGGGGGAGGGGATCTGCATCAGCAGTGGGGGGAGGGGACCTGCAGCACCAGCCCCCCCCCCCCGCCCCCCCCCCCCTTCTCCTCCACCCTTGCTGCGGGTGCAGCAGTGGGGGGAGGGGATTTGCAGCATCAGCCCCCCCCCCCCCCTTTTCTCCTCCACCCCTGCTGCGGGTGCAGCGGTAGGGGGAGGGGATCTGCAGCCCTGTGCTGCCCTGCAGCCCTGCGCGCCCTATGCGCCCTGCTGTCCTGCTGCCCTGCAGCCCTGTGCGCCCTACTGCCCTGCTGCTGCCGCTACAGCCCTTGCTGCTGCCCTGCACGCCCCGCGCGCCCTGCAGCCCTGCTGCGCCCTGCGCGCCCTGCTGCCCTGCTGCCCTGTGCACGCGCCATGCACAGCCCACCCCCCCCCCCCCCCCCCGCCCCAACCCCCCCCCCCCCCCCTCTCCCTTCTTCTTCCTTCCCCTGCTGCAGGTGCAGCAGTGGGGTGGGGGTATGGGGGTGGCGGGTGTGGGTGCAACTGCGGGGTGGCGGGTATGGGGGTGGCGGGTGTGTGAACCATCCCCTCCTCCTCCACCTTCGTCTCCCACTGCTGCAGCTGCCGCTGAGGGGGGTGGGTGTGTGGGAGCCGAGGGAGTGGTGCTAGGGGGGTGACGTGGGAGTGGAGCTAGGTGTGCAGCAAGGGGTGTGTGAAAGGGGGGTGGGACAATTATGGGGGAGGTTGAGCGGAGGTAGCCGTTGTGTCGCCAGCAGCGCCAGTAGTCCGGAGGCTACAATCTCCGGTAGCCCAGCGAGCCTGCTGCGCCAGTCGCCTGTGGGTCCGTTGCTCCTGCCGCTCAGAGTTAGCCGCAGAGCCAGTTACTCCTGTAGTCCGGGGATACGGCCCCGGTAGCCACAGTGCGCGCCGCTCCTGTTGCCCGTGTGTCTGCAGCATCAGCAGTCGCCTCCTATCTCCTCTCCTCTCACAGTCCAGCCTCCTCTTCACTTGCCCTTTGTGAATGCCCCTAGCTCTGCCTGTACTGTGATCTATCTATATACCTGCATGCTTGCACTTGTTAGGGTATGATCACTGTATTGTTTGTTCTCTTTATATAACTCTGCATGTGAACTGGCCTTGTGGCCCTTTGCTTGTGCTCGGACTGTGTGGTGACTTTGTGATCCACCCTGAGCTTGCTTTGCTTTGCTTCTTCTCTTGACTGGTCTTGTGACCATTGCTTGTTCTGGCTATCCCCCACTTCGCCTATGGGGGTGTGTCAAACATATATGCCTAGTTATATCTAGGCTTACTTTATGTGTTTATAGTTGTCTAGGCTATAGTGGGTTTAGCCTTAGGGGGTACAAAGTTTCTCTCGACATTCTACTTGTACCCCTTCCCTTTTCTTAGTCAATCATTCTCGCCTAAGATTCTAACAGGGTCAGCAGTCGACGGAGCAAACCCAAGAGCCGCAAGTGTCGTCCTCAGTGTGTCGTGCCACTCACGTGGCGCCTGGCGGAGACCGTAGACCGGCCGTCGGAGACAACAAACAACAATATATCTTAGCAGTGAATTTCACAGATAAACGAGCTCACCTAACGAGGGAGAGAGAACGAGAGAGAGAACGAGAAAGAACGAGGGAGAGAGAGAACGAGAGAGAGAGAACGATCAAGAATATGCTCCTACCTAGTGAATCAACTCTCTAAGAAGAATTCTTAATATCATTTCAAAACTCAATTAAGGTGGGGGAAGAAATCACGGCGTACGGAAGAAAACAAAAGTAAGAGCAGGAGCTGAAAGGAGCAAGCAAGTAGAATGTGAATCGAAATAAAGGAGAGCAGAAGATCGGAAGAAGTGGAGAGAAGCAGAGGGAAGGAGAGAACAAAAGTACGGTGCATAACCTAGGAAGAAAGAAAGGTTAAGAAACAAAAACGAATGGAAGAAGTGGTGGTTAAGCTAGGAAATCTAACCTCGAAAGGGTTTTCTGGCAAGAAATCGACCTAATCGAATAGGTCGAAATCTGCAGCAGCCAAAAACCAACGTAGCAGACTGGGTTGCAGCCCTTGAAACGGCCATCAACAAAAGAATGAAAACGACATACCACTAGGTCAAAACGGGCTTGAAATGAAAACGACATAGATCAATGAGAATAGGTGCAGCTTATCAACGACCTGGGATACTACCATCAGACGCGCTGAAGTCAATGACTAAAATTGATACTACTTCTTACCGTCAGCTAACGAAGTTCTAAGATACGCTAAACTTCTGACTCAAATAAGACCCTGCATCTTAAATCAACTAACCATGGTAGGGTCTGGGTGGCAGATGTCAAACATTAATCACATAGCCTGTCTAGGCTGTAGTGGGGTAGACACTATGGGGTACAGCTTTCTAGGGTTTCATATTTGTACCCAACTCATTTCCTAGTCAATCATCCATTTCCTATTCTCACATGGTATAGAGCTGGTTACCTACTGGGACCGTTCCTTCCTAAGGGCCCACCGTTAATTTTTTTTTTTACCTACCTGCCCGAAGCGCGCTTTACGCTCTGCCCTACGCGGCCCCTTTGCGGCCCCCTAGTGGCCTTCTCTGCCTTACGCGGCCCCCTTGCGGCCTGTTGGCGGCCCCCTTAGAGGCCCCGTTGCGACCCCGCCCCGGCCCTTCCCTGTCGCCCGAAGTCGCCCATTCGCGGCCCCATCGCGGCGCGACCCCGGCCCTGCCCCGTCGCCCATTGCGACCCTGTCGCGGCCCCACCCTGTCCCTCCCCCCGTCGCTTGTCGCGGCCCGGCCCCGACCCTGCCCCGGCCCCGTCGCGGCCCCGTCCCGGACCTGCCCCGGCCCCGGCCCTGCCCCGGCACTGCCCCGGCCCCGTAGCGGCCCTGTCCCGGACCTGCCCCGGCCCTTCCCCGACCCTGCCCCGACCCTGTCGCGGCTCTGTCCCGGACCTGCCGCGGCCTCGCCACGGCCCTGTCCCGGCCCTGCTCCGGCCCTGCCCCGGCCCTACTCCGACCCTGCCCCGGCCCTGCCCCGGACCTGTCGCAGCGCTGCCCCGGCCCAGCCCCGGATCGTTTGCAGCCCTGCCCCGGCCCTCCCTCGGCCCTGCCCCGGCCTCGCCTCTGGTAAGAGCATCGCCGGGCCAAGCCGCGCTGCCGAGCCGCACCGCTCTGCCGAGCCGCTCTGCCGAGCCGCGCCGCTGAGCCGCGCCGCCTTGCCGAGCCGCGCTGCCCTGCCTAGCCGTGTCGCTTAGCCGAGTTGCACTGCTACTGCTGCTAACTTGCTGCTGCTCCTGTCATGGCTAGTCCCAGTGTTCTTACCTTTGATGCTGAGGGTCGAGCGGTTGACTTCGATGTCTGGCTAGATGATCTGCAGCTTTTCCTACAGTGCGATAGCAAGGATGGTCTCTCACTGTTCGATCTCACGTCTGGCGCCTCTACTGCCCCTGCTGCTGATGCTGACAGTGCTGTTCGCTCGCAGTGGCTCACGCGCGATGCTGCTGCCCGCCTTGCTGTGCGTAGTCACCTACCGTCTACTGAGCGCGCGCACTTTAGTTAGTACAAGAGTGCTAAGACTCTGTACGACGCTGTCGTTGCACGCTACTCTTCCCCTGCCACTGCTGCCCTTAGCCGCCTCATGCTCCCGTAGTTGTTCCCTGACCTCGCCACTTTTGCCACAGTCACTGACCTCATTACGCACCTCTGCACTAGTGACACCCGCTACCGCGCTGCGCTTCCTGCTGAGTTCTGCGCCAAGAACCCCCCCCCCCCCATGTACATCACCCTCTACTACCTAGTCACCCGGCTTCCTGACACCCTTCGCTCCGTCAGGGACCACTTCCTCTCTCTTTGCCCTACCACACTCACCGTTGACCTCCTCGAGGAGCGCCTCCTTGCAGCAGAGACTAGTATTACTGCTGTAGGAGCCTCTCGTGGTGACCCTCGTACCCCTTTCTTTGAGGGGTGCTCCCCTGTTCCTCTTTTGCCCTCCCACTGTACGTGTGCTCAGACGGGCCGCCACTTGGCCACGTTTACCCGTTGTCCGGGGTCTAGCCTGTACACACTGACCACAGAGTCTCCACCGGTTGCTGCGTCTGGTCAGGTAGCTGCGTCGGGTCAGGTGTTTGCTGCAGCGTCTCGGTCAGGTCCTGAGTCTGCCCCCTGCTCGTGTCGCCTCCTGTCCCACCAGACCCTCCTCTGGCACCACCGCCTTGGTCACCCCTCCTTGCCTCGTCTCCGAGGCATGGCCTCCCGTTTCCTTGTCTCTGGTCTCCCCCGGTCCCTCCCTCCCCTTCCCCTGGGGCCTGCCCCTTCCTGCGTTCCCTGCGTCGAGGGGCGGCAGCGTGCCGCTCCTCACTCTTCCGAGTTTCCTCCAACAGAGGCTCCGCTGCAGACTCTTCAAATGGACGTGTGGGGCCCAGCCCGCGTCCGTGGACAGGGTCACGAGCGTTACTTCCTGCTGGTGGTTGACGACTACTCGCGTTACACCAGAGTCTTCCCTTTGCGCAACAAGGGTGAGGTCACTGAGGTGTTGATCGACTGGATCCGCGTTGCTCGTCTCCAGCTCAGAGAGCGTTTCGGCTCGGACTTTCCTGTTCTGCGTCTGCACTCCGACAGAGGTGGAGAGTTTTCCTCTGACCTTCTGCGAGCCTTCTGTCGTGCGGAGGGCATCCGCCAGACGTTCACGCTTCCGGCCTCTCCACAGCAAAATGGGATTGCTGAGCGCCGCATTGGCATGGTCATGGACGTCGCTCGTACGTCCATGATCCATGTGGCTGCTCCCCATTTTTTGTGGCCGTTCGCTGTTCAGTACGCGGCGCATCAGATCAACCTTCAGCCCCGGGTCTCCATTCCGGAGACCTCCCCTACTCTGCGGTGGACGGGGAAGGTTGGCGATGCGTCTGCGTTCCGTGTCTGGGGATCTCGAGCTTTCGTCCGAGACTTGTCTGCGGACAAGCTGTCCTCCCGTGCTGTTCCTTGCGTCTTCCTCGGCTTCCCCCCTGACGCGCCTGGTTGGCAGTTTTACCACCCTACCTTGCGTCGTGTTCTGTCCTCCCATGACGTCACGTTTGACGAGTCGGTTCCGTACTACCGTCTCTTCCCCTATCGCGCTGCCCCCCTCTCCCCCCCCGCCGCTCTTCCTCACGCCCGTTCCCCCCCTGGTAGTCCCCCTCCCCCCTCAGGGTCCTGCCCCCTCAGGTGTGTCCCAGGTAGATGCAGTTGAGCCTGTCGAGGTAGCTGTTGACTCTGGTACTTCTGGGGGTGCTGGGCCTGAGCGTGCGGAGCCTGGGGGTGCTGGGTCTGGGGGTGCTGAGCTTGAGCGTGCGGAGCCTGGGGGTGCTGGGTCTGGGGGTGCTGAGCCTGAGCGTGCGGAGCCTGGGGGTGCTGGGTCTGGGGGTGCTGAGCCTGGGGTTGCTGAGTGTGGGGGTGCGGAGCCTGCCGGTACTGGACCTGGAGGTCCTTCGGGTGCTTTGTCCCGGCGGGAGCTACCCTCTCCACAGGAGCTCCGCGAGTGGTTTGCTCGGCGCTGGAGCCGTGCTGCTGGAGCTGGTGGTACTGCTGGTGCTGGAGGTTCTGCTTCTACTGGGGGTGCTGGAGCCACGAGTCCCGGAGGTGCTCGTACTGGAGGTACTGGAGCTGCTGGGCGTGGTGGTGCTACTGGTGCTGGAGCTACTGGTGGAGCTGGAGCTGGCGGTGCTGCTGGAGTAGGTACTACTGGAGGTACTGGAGCCGGAGCTGCTGAGTCTTCAGGTGGTCCTGCTGGAGCTGGAGCTGCTGTGGGTGCTGGAGGTACTGGAGCTGGAGGTGCAGCTGGAGGTACTGGAGCTGGAGGTGCTGCTGGAGCCGGTGCTCCTGTGGGTGCTGGAGTTGGCGCTACTGGAGCTGCTGGTGGTACTGCTCGTGCTGGTGGTACTGCTGGAGTTGGTGCTGACGCTGCTGGTGCTGGTGCTGTCTCTGCTGGTTCTGGAGGTGCTGCGCGGCCGCGGCCGTACTTCGTTCCGCTCCTTGAGCAGGTTCTTGGTCTTCCGCCTTCTTCTGGTCCTGCTCCTTCTTTAGAGTGTCCACCGCCTGTCCAGTCCGAGTCACAGTTACCGCTGGCCTCCCCTCTTCCTGCTCCTTCTCCCTACGCTGGTCCTACTGGAGGTCTTGCTGAGCGTCGTGAGCCTGATTCGCGTCCTGCGTCGCTTGTTCGTACTGCTCGCACTAGTCGTCGTGTTCCACATCAGCGTCCTCCTGCGGTCCCGGGCACGCATCAGATGGCACTGCGTCCTTCCACTGCGTCACAGCGTGTCCCTTTGCCGTCTCCTCCAGCGTCCTCTCTTCCTGCTCTTGCTGACCCGGAGTCTGACTCCCTTCGTGCTGCCAGTCCTACTGTCACGCGTTTCCTAGCCACTGCTGTCATTGACCCTTCCTTTGAGTCTGCTACTGCGTCTGCCTTAGTTGCCGAGCTTGTCGACTTCGCTGCTCACTGTCGTCTAGACTACGCCGCTAGTCTTGTTGCTGAGTCTGCGTCTGTCTGTCCTCCGTCCGTCGGGGGTGAGTGTGCTCTTAGCACGGACGTCCTTGAGGACAGACATGAGGAGTTCCAGTGTTTTGCCGCTGCTTTACCTCATCTCGTATCCACGCTGTTTGCCCCTGAGGGAGACCCGGATGCACCAGACATCCTGACCCCGCGCTCTTACGCAGAGGCGATAGAGGGTCCCTACTCCTCTCAGTGGCAGGCAGCCATGGATGCAGAGATGGCTTCCTGGAAGTCCACAGGCACCTACGTCGACGAGGTTCCCCCACCTGGGGCGAACATCGTCAGTGGCATGTGGATTTTCAGGGTGAAGCGGCCGCCGGGTTCTCCGCCTGTCTTCAAGGCGCGTTACGTGGCTCGAGGCTTCAGTCAGCGGCAGGGAGTTGACTACTTTCAGACCTTCTCCCCGACCCCGAAGATGACCACTCTTCGGGTTCTGCTGCACGTCGCTGCTCAGCGTGACTACGAGCTTCACTCCCTTGACTTCAGCACTGCTTTCCTACAGGGCAGCCTGCACGAGGAGATCTGGCTGCGCCGCCCACCTGGCTTCACTGGGTCGTTTCCTCCTGGTACCCAGTGGAGCCTCCGGCGGCCAGTCTACGGTCTCCGCCAGGCGCCCTGTGAGTGGCACGACACACTGAGGACTACGCTTGCGGCTCTTGGGTTTGCTCCTTCTACTGCTGACCCGTCGCTGTTTCTTCGCACCGACACTTTGCTGCCGCCGTTCTACATCCTCGTGTACGTCGACGACTTGGTGTTTGCTACGGCTGACACTGCTAGACTCGCCCACGTGAAGTCGGAGCTGGAGAAGAGACACACGTGCACAGACCTAGGTGAACTGCGCAGCTATCTTGGCTTGCAGATCACCCTGGAGGGCGGAGTCCAGTGGTCCTCACTGGTCACGCAAACGCGTCTTGGGTTGACGACCTGGCTACGCAGCGGTCGTCACAGGGTTACACCTTTAGCCTTGGTTCCGGCTCTGTTTCGTGGCGGTCTAGTTGCTCGTCTTCTGTTCTCAGCTCGAAGTCAGGTAGTATATGTAAGAACTTATATTTGTAACTGCCTGTAGCTGTAGTTAGTGTAGTTATTATAAACTTTGTTTGGTGGTGCACCTTATTTGTTTCCTTTGCTATATGTTCTTCGAAACCTATAGTGAAACCATCCTTTCCAACTTTCTCGACTCTCACCCTAGGCACAAACTACTCGACATCCTAGTTGGGGCCTAGGCTCCTAAGCCTAGGCCCTAGTTAAACTTGATCATTCCACGTTTCAGTTTTTATCATGCTATCAGAGCGAGTTACGTCCTGGCCTGTGGGCCCGCCTCATGCTTCCGCTGCTACGTTTTTCCGGTCGCGCGCCTAGGGCGCGTGGTGATTTTCTATTGTCCCGCCCCCGGTTGGCGAGTGACTCCTACTCTGCCCGTCGCGCGCCCCGTGGCACGCGACGGTGCCCTAAACCTGCCCGTCGTGCGCCCCGTGGCACGCGACGGTGCCCTGCTCGTCGTGCGCCCCGAGGCACACGACGGTGCCCTTACCTTAAACTTACCTGTCGTGCGCCCCGTGGCACGCGACGCTCCTCTCCGCACCTGCTCTCACTGCAGCCGCCCCTGACCTACCTGCGCCGACACATTGTAGCCGCTCTGCGGCTTTCTTCCCGCCCACCCCCTCCTCCTTTGTCTCCCTGCAGCCGTGGGGGGGAGGGTATGGGGGTGGCGGGTGTTGGAGCGTTGGGTCGTATCCTTCCCTTCCCCTCCTCCTCCTTTTGTTCCCACTGCTGCAGCTGCCGCTGGGGGGGAGGGTGTGAGGGTGTGGGGGAGGCGGGGGAGTGGCACCGGGGTGGCGGGTGTGAGGCAACCAGCAGCCGTCCCTCCACCTCTCCTCTCTTCCCCCCCCCTCTCTGCTGCTCCTGCAGCAGTGTGGGGGAAGGGAAGGAGGAGGGTGAGGAGATGGAGGGGGTGACCAGCTAGTGTTAGCCCGCCTGCAGTACCTGCTGTTGCTTGTTTATTATTTTGCATGTGTACCCCTGCAGGTTGTATTCTGCACAAACTCCTGATGCAGGCAGTTATGGGGGAGTGTCAGAACTTATATTTGTAACTGCCTGTAGCTGTAGTTAGTGTAGTTATTATAAACTTTGTTTGGTGGTGCACCTTATTTGTTTCCTTTGCTATATGTTCTTCGAAACCTATAGTGAAACCATCCTTTCCAACTTTCTCGACTCTCACCCTAGGCACAAACTACTCGACATCCTAGTTGGGGCCTAGGCTCCTAAGCCTAGGCCCTAGTTAAACTTGATCATTCCACGTTTCAGTTTTTATCAGTTGCTCGTCTTCTGTTCTCAGCTCGAAGTCAGGTAGTATAGTCGAGTAAGTTTGATCAGGCAAATGAAAGGTCGTGAGGTCGATTTTTGCGGGCTCCACGCTGTAGCGGATGTTTTTGAAAAGTACAAGATTAATTATATATTACATAAAATGTTCAACAGATGCCTTAGTACAGTGGTTTACCACGTTTCTCGATCGCAAGGTCCTGGGTTCGATTCCCAGTGTGCATATTATCACAGTTGTTTCACACATATATTATAATATATTTAAGAATCTCACAATCTATATTGATAATTTTACCAAAACGCTTCGCAACCCTAAGACGATTTCGTCGCCTCTTGTTTTTTTTTTTTCGCAAGAGTTTATAGTTTAAATACATACCAGAGAGCTTTTGTAAAATTCTTCGCAACCCTAGGACGACCTTGTCGCCTCTTGTTTTTTTTTTTTCGAAGCTAGTTGATTGGCTTGGCGTGAGCGGGAAAATTGCAGAGTTTCAAGTATTTCATGGCGGGAGTAATATGCGTGACCATTCGCGTGAATCTCTACCTGTTGTTAGTGAGTGATTTCGTAAACCAATTACCATACCCGTTAAAACACTCGATACAGTGACTGTACGCGAGATTTATTCACCAGAAGCTTCATCGAGTTTCATGTTTCTTGTGGCATATTTTCCCATACTCATTCCCATTTCCTCCCCCTTCTCCTATGCGCCTTCTGTGTTGAAACGCGTTCGCAGCACTCCGCAGCCATAAATGAAGGACTAACGAAATCGGTCAAACTGAGGGTTACGTGTTTCGTTAGTGTCGAACAGCTTCCTAGCTGCTCGTCAGGCGAAAAGCAGATTCGTTAGCGTTCTAGTCTTTGCTGCTCTTGGCCATGTGACACGTCCGTGCCATCCATCCACTGCACCCTCGCCAACGCATCCGCCCTTCATCATCCATCGCCCCCCTCCCCCTATTCCCTTCCTCCATCGCGTCCCACCCATCGACCTCCGTCCACCGCGTTCCACCATCGAGCTCCGCGCATCCCGCTCTGCCCATCGAGCACCGTCCATCGCGCTACTGCGTGCGCGTCCACCCATTCGCGCATGGCTCGAGCGAATGCACGCCGATGGGCCTCGCCGCCGGCGACGGTCGCTATTGAAGCGCGTGCGCTGTTGCGCCATCTCGTCGTGCTCGGCCCTCCGCCACGAATCCTCATGCATTATTGCCCTTCCACACCGCCGCGCATTGTGTTCAGCCCTTCGCCGCTCACTCTCGCCACTCGCTCTCAGCACATAAGTTGCCCCCCTTCCCGAAGCTCTCATAACTCGCGCCCGCTTCTTCTCGTCTCCCGTCACCGCCTTGAATCTCTCGCCATCCTCTCCATCCTCGCCATCTCCATCCCCCTGTCGCTCGCACCTTGCGCATTCCACCCGATCGCTCGCAAGCACCAGTAATCGTCGCCGGCCCCACATCGTTTCGACTTCTCCTGCGACTCGAGCTTCGAGGTTGAAGGCCCTTCGCCGTGTGCCGTCGCGATGGCTCGCTGCGGACGGCCGTCTGTCGTTGGCGTCGTCGCACTCATCGCTGCGATCAGCCTCCTCGCGACCCACGCCAGCGCAGGTGAACTTTCTTGCTTCTCGCGGGCATTCTGCTAAGTCGTTACAAGACGCTTCTTCACCCAAGCCCGTGCTTCCAGTGGCGAGTACTGACACGCACCCACACCCAAGGCGCGTTCAATCGCGCTCCTCACCCTCTTTGCTTCAACCACAATGTCGTGTGACCAATGCGAGTCCCGACCTAGGAGCAACCCTTGCTGACCTAGAAACAACCCTTGCTGACCTTGCAACAACCCTTGCTGACCTTGCAACAACCCTTGCTGACCTTGCAACAACCCTTGCTGACCTTGCAACAACCCCTGATTTCACCCAGCAGAGATGTGTGGCAGTAAGGATTGCGGGCCAAGCGCCCACTGCCATGTGGGCGAGGATGGCAGCCGCGAGTGCCGGTGCCATTTCGATGGTTATGCCTTCAATGAGACGGACAAGTCGTGCACTGGTGAGTGGTGGGAGTGTGGGTGAGTGAGTGCACGTGTGGAAGTGAGTCCAATGCAGTATCATTCGAGTGGTTGAGGGTGCTTAATGGCCTGTGCTTTCTGGTACTCACAAGGAAACAGCCCGTCACTGCCCAGGCTTTACGGTCAGCTGCCACCACTCAATGTGAGCTTTTCTATTCTTGCTCCTTGCCTTCTCCCCTCCCTTCCTCTTCCCACCCTCTCCCTACGCACCATGCCCACTGCAGACCCGTGCGAGGCAGTGCAGTGTGCAGCGGGGACGCAGTGCGTGTCAAGGAGTGGCACGGGGGAGTGCGAGTGCGAGCAGGGGTACATCATGCAGAACGGCACCTGCACGGGTGAGCTGCAACTCCTGCTTCATGCAACCACATGCTCTCACACGCTGTTGCTCATCCATGTTCGCTTCCGCCCCTCTTGACTCTTCATTCCACTCTCTTCCCCCCTGTGGCGGCCACAACTCGACGCCACGGAACCCACACCGTCACCGCAACAACGTGCCACGCCCGCGACGCGCGCGATGATCAGATGGCTTGCTGCAGACGAGGGTGGTGCTGGAGGGCCGCGACGACTTGGCTCTGCTCACCTTTGAGAGCCCGGTGCCCATGGCGCAAGCCACTGGCGCCATCGCCTGCACCAACGTCAGCGACCTGGGCGGCAAAAGCACGAGGATCAGCGTGGAGTGGGTGTCGATCGAAGTGTACACGGCGGGCGACGGCATGTGCAAGAGCATCTCGTTCCATTCCGACCCGCTCTGTGCCGACAAGCCGGGTCTGACCATGGCCCGCCCGGCTGTGACCAAGATCGGCGGCTTCTTCCCCATCACGGATCGGTGAGCCACGGTGCTGTGCAATGGGCAGTGGGGTTTTCTTGCTGTGCCTGTAGCATACCCGTGTGGTATCCACAATCATTTTGTTCATGTGTCAACGGTGCGCTCGTCTGTGCTCTGCCCTGCCCTTACCTTGCAACTCGCAGGACTGTGAAAGCAGCCCCGCCGCAATCAATCAGCTGCGAAATCAGTAAGTGGGAGCCCAGAGACTTGTTTCATTTGTCAAGGCCGCATGCACATAGCCCCAGTCATGTTTGCCTGCACTGTGAATGCATCAAGTGCACATAGCCAAGGAGGTTCAAGCACCTTCACCTCTGTTGGGTGAGCACCTTCGCCTCTGTTGGGTGAGCACCTTCGCCTCTGTTGGGTGAGCACCTTCGCCTCTGTTGGGTGAGCACCTTCGCCTCTGTTGGGTGAGCACCTTCATCGCTGCACTTGATTCATTCTCCACCTCCCCGTACCATGCCATACCTTGTTTCACCCCTTCCCCTTACGTGCGCCTCTCGGTGCTGTCAACAACAGCCACGTGTCACAAGGAATGCGGCAGTGCACAGTGCGTGGTGAGGGACGGCGTGTCTCAGTGCAAGTGCCCCTGGAGCCAAGTGTTTGACGAGGCGCAGAAGCGCTGCAGCAGCAAGTCGCCCGGCACTGGTACGTGTCTCTCACCACTCGTATGTGTCCAAGCCTGCTCTTGCATGTACCCAGCCACAAAATGCTATCCCGTCAGCCCTTGTTGTATGCAGGCAAACAACTATCCTTCCTATGTCACCAGCCCTCAGTCTCACCCCTTCCCTCCCCCACCCACGGCAGACCCGAACCCTAGCGGAGGCGCGGACCCGTGTGAGGCAGTGAAGTGTGCGAGGAACTCGCAGTGCGTGGGGGGGAACGGGCAGCCCACGTGCGAGTGTGACGCCGGCTACACCAAGGCCAACAAGGGCCTCTGCACTGGTGAGCTCAACAAGAGCTCTGCTTTTTCTTCTAATTTCTTTGCAAGCGCTGTGCCCGTGGAGGCAGCACACGAGATTACAATGCTTCATGTCAGTCCAGCTTGTCAGTGCGCTATTTTGTGGCGTCCTCTTCGCCCTCATATGGACGCTCCTTCCCCCTCCGCGTCTGCTACCCCACACAACCTCGTGCTCCTGCCCCTCTCCTCCACGCACCACCTCCCACCATACCAGCCATGTGCAAGCCGGGCTGCCCTGCCAATGGCCAGTGCGTGGTGGTGGGAGGGAAGCCCCTGTGTCGCTGCAAGGCGGGTTTCCGAATGTACGAGAACGAATGCATACGTAAGGGCCAAATTGGGAGGGAGAGCGAGCCCCCGTTGTATCTCCCTCGTATTCCTACCGCTCCAGTGCTTACTCTCTTTCCTCTCTCATGATGTCGTGAGGAGAGCTGGTGCTGCTTGCCACCATGAGTCGTTCTCACTCGTCTCCTTCATGCCATCATGCTGTATTCCATCTCTCCTCTCACCCTCCAACTTTCCCATCTCTCGCACGCACCCCTCCCCCCTGACAGCGGTGTGCAAGCCCCTCTGCGGTGGCAATGCCCAGTGCGTGGCGGTGAAAGGCAAGCCGGCGTGTGAATGCATCATGGGGTTCAAGATGACCAACAACAAGTGCAAGCGTAAGAGCGACGGATTGTAGTCACAACTATGCTCTCCTCGAGTTGTAGTCACTCCCACGATTTCCAACCCCACGTGCACCCTTGAAGACGCATGTGTCAATGAAGCTTTTGCCATCTGTGCTCGCTGCGCTGTGATGTAATCCCATCGTCTCTTCCCCGCTCATCCTCCATTCTTCCCATCTCTCACACCCACCCCACCCACTTGACAGCTGTGTGCAAGCCTAGCTGCACCGCCAATGCCCAGTGCATGGCGGTGAAGGGAACGCCGATGTGTCAGTGCAACACGGGGTTCAGGATGGTCAGCAACAAGTGTATACGTAAGAGGAGGGAGTCAAGTTTGCTCCAGTAAAGCCATGCTCTTCCCTATCTCCCACAACCTTCACCACCCATTTGCACGCATAATTACAGTCTTTGTTCATGACAATTGTGCTGTCTATGCTCACTGTGTTATATCCCCCTCATTTTCATTCTTCCCATCTCTCTCACCCACCCCACCCACTTGACAGCGGTGTGCAAGCCTGGCTGCGGTGTCAATGCCCAGTGCATGGCGGTCAAAGGAAAACCGATGTGTCAGTGCAACACGGGGTTCCAGCTGGTCAACAACAAGTGCACACGTACCGCCGGTAAGAGCGAGGGACGAAAGTGCGGTCTCCTTCGCATGCTCAGCACCAATTAACTTCATGTGTCCTCTACCACCACAAGAGCTTTGCATCCTACCGTCTTGCACCTTAACATAGTCCACCCGCCGTCCTCGTATTCTTCTTATTTAGTATCTTTCCTTTTCGATGATCTTGAATTTTCCATCCCCAAAGGCATTCCACGGAGTCTCATACTGCTGTGCTCTTCCAACCCATCCATCCACCCACCCAGCAAAATGAGCTGGTTACTCCTGAAGGCGATTAAAATCAAGGCTTCAAGATGTGTGTCGAAGTGGCAGTGCTGCTTAATAACGGAGTAGAGGTGTGAGCGAATGCATGCTGTTGCTCCGGAGGCAGGATTTAGCACTGTGTTGTGCTGGTGCTTGCGCTGGTGTATTCTGTGTGTGTTGTGTACTGATGCTTGTATTGTACTGTATCTTTTCTTGGCATGTTATGTTCTTCGTTTCTAGTGCTTCATTCCAGTTCTCGCTTGGGAACAATGCTGTGTAAATTGGATTAGCGATTCTGAATGACAGAGAAAAAAAATAATGATAGCTAGCTTGTTAGGACTTCAATACACTAGCCTTGTACGCAACCTGGGTCAAAAGCAACATGCAATCGTGGAGTCTGGCTGAGCTTCGTAGTTATGGGTGAGTAATCCACATAACTCTAATAAACATACCGGCGGTAGTATTGTAATGACCTGGATAAAAGAACCCTTTAACACAACACCCCTGTGTCATAACTATGTATATAGGTGTTAGGCTGTAATGAGGCACTCCTAATGTCAGAATGAGAACAGCGGAATGAGTTCACTAGCAGGCATGGGGAGTACAAAATGGTGGGCACAAGCCCAAGAGCTATGCAAAAACGCTGCTGATCACCAGACCTAAGTGCCTTGGTGAAAATATCAGCAGTGTTGGCTGTCATAACATTATAGCTTATACATTTGTCTAGGCTGTAGTGGGGTAGCCCATAAGGGGTACAACCCAATTAGGGTTAGTACTTGTACCCAACTGTTTGCTAGTTCATTCATTCTCGTTCGTTACTTTGACATGGAATCAGAGCAGGTTCCTTGGGCCCACCACCTGCTACGCTGCTAGTACCCCCCCTAGGCCCGTTGCGCCCCTTAGGCCCGTCGCGCCACCTCACTGCCCCTAGCTCGGCCCCTCGGTCCCGTTGGCCCCGTCGCCCCTAGCCGCGCCCCACGGCCCCGCTGGCCCCGTCGACCCTAGTCGCGCCCCTCGGCCCCGTTGGCCCCGTCGCCCCTAGCCACGCCTCACGGCCCCGCTGGCCCCGTCGCCCCTAGCCGCGCCTCGCGGCCCCGTTGGCCTCGTCGACCCTAGTCGCGCCCCTCGGCCCCGTTGGCCCCGTCGCCCCTAGCCGCGCCCCACGGCCCCGCTGGCCCCGTCGCCCCTACCGCGCCTCGCGGCCCCGTTGGCCTCGTCGACCCTAGCCGCGCCCCTCGACCCCGTTGGCCCCGTCGCCCCTAGCCGCGCCTCTCGGCCCCGTTGGCCCCGTCGACCCCTAGGCCACTAGCCGCGCCCCTCGGCCCCGTTGGCCCCGTCGACCTAGTCGCGCCCCTCGGCCCCGTTGACCCCGTCGTCCCTAGCCACGCCACTCGGCCCCGTTGGCCCCATCGCCCCTAGCCGCGCCCCTCGGCCCCGTTGGCCCCGTCGCCCCTAGCCGCGACTCGCGGCCCCGTTGACCCCATCGACCCTAGCCGCGCCCCTCGGCCCTGTTGGCCCCGTCGCCCCTAGCCGCGCTCCTCGGCCCCGTTGGCCCCGTTGCCCCTAGCCGCGCCCCTCGGCCCCGTTGGCCCCGTCGCCCCTAGCCGCGCCCGCTTGCCCCGTCGGCTCCGTCGACCCCGTCACCCCTAGCCGCGCCCCTCGGCCCTGTTGGCCCCGTCGCCCCTAGTGCTGGCCCCTTCGGCCCCTCGTGGCCCCACTTGTTTGGCCCCTCGGCCCATAGGCTCGGCCCCTCGGCCCCTAGGCTCGGCCCCTCGGCCCCCTCAGCCCCTAGCCTCGGCCCTTCGGCCTCGTGTTTGGCCCCTCGGCCCCGCCCCTTGGCCCCGTGGCCCCTAGTCCCCTCGGCCCCTCGGCCCCTAGGACCCTTGGCCCCTCGGCCCCTCGGCCCCACCAACCTCGTGTTTGGCCCCTCGGCCCCGCCCCTTGGCCCCTTGACTACTGCTGCTACTGCTGCTACTACTACTGCTACTCCTGCTGCTCCTGCTACTGCTGCTCCTGAGTACTGCGCCACTATGGCTTCGCTTCGACTCCTAGCGTTCGATCACGAGGGCAGACTGGTTGCATTTGACACGTGGCACGACGATCTGCAACTGTACCTACTGAGTGATATTCAGGACAGTGTCTCGCTGTTTGACCTCGTGTCCGGTGTCGCTCCAGCCCCTCCCGCCACAGCTGACGGTTCGACTCGATCCAAGTGGCTTTCTCCTGACGCTACTGCACGCTTAGCCATTCGCAACCACCTGCTGGTGGCCGAAGTACCCACTTTGGACAGCACAGGACAGCACAGGCCCTGTACGACGCTGTCGTTGCTCGCTACTCCTCCCCTGCCACTACTGCTCTAGGCAGACTGCTACAGCCCTACCTGTTCCCTGAGCTATCGGCTTTTGCCACCGTAGCGGACCTGGTTACCCACCTGCGCACTAGCGACGCTCGCTACCGCGCTACCGTCCCTGCTGAGTTCCTTGCCACGAACCAGCCCCCCATGTTTATCACCCTCTACTTCATAGTCTCTCGCCTCCCTGACTCTCTTCGCTCTGTCAAGGACCACTTTCTCTCCCTTGACCCCACCTCCCTAACTGTTGACCTCCTCGAGCAGCATCTCCTCGCAGCTGAGACTAGTGCAGTTGCTGTAGGTGCTGCTCGTGGCACTCCGCGCCCGCCCTTCTTTGAGGGGTGCTCCCCCTCTCCCCTTTCCCCCTCCTTCGCCTCTGCTGCTGCTGCTGCAGACGTCTCTGTTCCTGAGGACGTCGGTGCTGCTTCGACTAGTGCGAAGTGCCGCAGCAGCAAGGGCAAGGGTGGCCGGGGTGGTGGAGGTGGCAGCGGTGGTGGTGGAGGTGGCAGTGGGAGCGGTGGTGGGGGCAGCGGTGGAGGTGGTGGAGGCAGTGGAGGTGGTGGCGGCGGTGGGACTAGTGGCAGCAGTGGGGGCTCTGGTGGCGGCGGTGGAGGCAGCGGAGGGAGTGGCGGCAGTGGAGGAGGTGGGACTGGTGGTGGCAGGTCTGGACCTCGGCGAGGAGGCCCTGGTGGTGGTCCGCGACAGCAGCAGCAGCGTCGGAGCGAGACCCAGTCGCCCCAGCAGCTCCGTGAGTGGTTGGTTCAGCGTGGGTCGGATGGGGGTAGTGAGACCTGCCCGTATGTCATTCGCACGGATGTTCGTGCGGGCCAGACATGCGGGAAGTTTCACACTGAGCACCGCTGCTTCTCCCGCCTTGAAGACGCTTGGCGCGCTGAGTTTGGTGACGACATCGAGCGCCCTCGCTGGACTGATTTGCTTAGGTCGGGAGTTGCTATCTTTGACCTAGACTATGATGCTATTATCTCTGCCATGTATGCCTTGTCTTTTAGTGCTGAGGGTGACTGTTACCGGTGTGTGCCACCTGACCAAGGTATAGCGGCTGCTGCTCTAGGTGCTAGTGCGTCTGGTACTCCCCCTGGTACTGCACCTGCTGAGGCCTTGCACACTTTCACGTTGGACTCCGGCGCCTCGCGCTGTTTCTTTCGTGACAGCACCACTCTCACTCCTCTCCCTGCACCTGTCCCGGTCAGATTGGCTGACCCCTCCGGGGGCCCGGTCGTTGCCCGTTCCTCCACTGTCCTCCCGTGTCCAGTGGTTTCGTCCGGCTCACTGTCAGGTCTTCACCTCCCCTCGTTCTCTACGAACTTGGTGAGTACCCCTGCCCTTCAGGATGCGATGGTCACTACCACCACTCCTGGGGGTCAGCGTGTGTCGATCTGCACGTGCACACGGACGAGGCCTCACCTGGCCACGTTCACTCGTCGGCCAAGGTCGAGTCTGTACACGCTGGTTACCGGGCCTCCTCAGGTCGCTGCGTTTGCTCAGGTGTCCGCGTCAGGTCAGGTAACCGCCTCTTGCTCGTGTCGCCTCCTGTTGCACCAGACTCTTCTGTGGCACCACCGCCTGGGTCACCCCTCCCTACCACGCCTTCGTGGCATGCACTCCCGGTTTCTCGTCTCTGGTCTACCCAGGTCTCTGCCTCCCCTCCCGCCCTCGCCTGCCCCCCCCTGCCTTCTTTGCGTCGAAGGGCGGCAGCGCGCCGCTCCTCACTCCTCCTCGTTTCCCCCGACGACTGCTCCCCTGCAAACTCTCCACATGGACGTGTGGGGCCCAGCCCGCGTCAGTGGACATGGCCGCGAGCGCTACTTTCTGCTTGTTATTGACGACTACCCGCGGTACACAACGGTCTTCCCCTTGCGCAGCAAGGGTGAGGTCGTTGATGTCTTGATCCCTTTGATCCGCACAGTCCGTCTCCAGCTCCGCGAGCGCTTCGGTACGGACCTTCCTGTCCTACGTCTGCACTCTGACAGAGGTGGTGAGTTCTCCTCCGACCTCTTGCGGGACTTTTGTCCTGGGGAGGGCATTCTCCACTCGTTCACGCTTCCGGCCTCCCCTCAGCAAAATGGGATTGCTGAGCGCCGCATTGGCTTAGTCATGGAGGTCGCTCGTACCTCCATGATCCATGCGGCTGCTCCCCATTTTCTGTGGCCGTTTGCGGTCCGGTACACTGCGCATCAGCTCAACCTCTGGCCCCGTGTCTCCTTGCAGGAGACCTCGCCCACACTGCGCTGGACGGGGAAGGTTGGCGATGCGTCGGTGTTCCGGGTCTGGGGTTCTCGTGCCTTTGTTTGCGATACGTCTGCGGACAAGCTCTCCGCCCGCGCCATTCCTTGCGTCTTCCTTGGCTTTGTCCCTGACGCGCCTAGCTAGAAGTTTTACCACCC